GGCCTCAATTAGTCTAAAATGAAATTTCAGATGTAGTCTTATGAACTGTGTGGTTGTCATTTGCTTATTACCACTGGATAAAGCATCTATTAAATAGTTAGACAACAGATTTGAAGTTTCAGGGTCTATAATTTTTTTTCTAATGGATGTAGGATGAGTGAGAACAAAGTCCTCATGGGTATTCCATTATAAAGTCATTAAGTTGGAAATAGCTTTCACCATAAACCATTTCTGAATTGGAATTCCACCATGCCTCCCTAGGCATTTAGTTACCCATCATTTGATACTTTAAAACTACATCTTGTAGTCTTAGAAGTTTAATTTTTAAAAGTGAGTAAAATATGGTGCTTGCCTAGCCTATTATTGCTTGGATAAGTGCCCACTCCCAGGTGAAGCTGGGCCATGGTTGCAAGGTTGCAAGGCTGGTTGGTGGTGTTCATCTCAGTGCATTTCTCCCAGAAAAATCAGACATGTTCTTTCTTGATTACCTACATTTAGTATGGTTGCCAGATGCCTCACTATAGACTTGGGGAATTTACATTCTCTAATTGGGACGTGAGTTAATTATGAAACAAATTACATAATGAGGTAGATGAGAAAGTACAAATTAACTGTGCATCATAGATATTAAACAGGACCAGAGTTAATAATGGTTACTCAGTTAGTGTTAGCTATAGTGTGCCAAATACTGTGCCGAGTCCGTTTTTTTTTTTAATATTAAAATGGCAGGTTTATTATAAAAAAGGAAGGGAAATAAAGGATGCTTACATAGACACAAGCAGGCAGAAAGAGCTGTCCCTGAAAGGGACAGGTTTGTTAGGAGAGATGCCTGCAGAGTCCCAGGTAGGCATTCTTGGGAGGAGAGCTGCCTCTGCTGCTTTGCAAAGGGAGAAGTTTGGTGAAAAGAAGCACCTGCATAGTTATAGGCAGGCTGGAGAACTGCTGCTTAATTGTACTGAGTCCTTTATGTAAGTTTTATATTTAGTTCCCTTTGAGATAGACATTATCTTCCTTATAAAGATAGAACTGAGGTACAGAAAGATGAAGTAACTTAACCTCCGTCACAGAGGTGTAAGAATGCTGAACATCTGAGGACGTAACTGTGACACTTGAGACTCACCCCCAGAAGGAAAAATATCTGAGTTGAAAAAGAGAAGGCTTCATGAATGAGATAGGGTTAAAACTTGAGCCTTCAAGAATTTGTTTGTTTAAACAAAAAGACCAAACATAGAATGCGTCAGCATGGCCAGGCTTGAAGGAGATTATGAGGGGAACCTGAGGCTCTGTGTTCTCACATGTGACCGAGTCTTTCCGAGGAGGCCTGAAGGATCTGGAGAGTGAGGTGGCAGGTGTGTGGTTCTGTCCCTTTCTGGTTCTCTGGAAGGTGAAGGACTCTGTAATGAGCCTCTTTGACCCCATCTGGAATAGATTATGAGTACCATCTTTTATCATCTATCCCTGATGTTTGGCAGTGTGTGTTACACACTCATACTTTAATATTGATTGGCCACATTCTCTGTGCAAAACTATTTAGGACCAACAACACATTTATTGAGGGTTTGGGACCAGGTTGAATCCCAATCATGGGTGATAGTTTGACTAATATGATACTAGTATATCTGGTTAGTAGGGATAGATTATTTTAACTCTTCGAAAATTGTCTCCAAAGAAATCTGGATTTGGATGTCTTTGACAACATGAGCTTTCCTGGGAAAAATTAAAGAGACACCAAGTACAAGATTGGAGAGATTTGGTTTGGTAATATTTTCTAGTGTGAATTATTATTTTATTGTCTTAAAATCAAGTACTGCTGTAAGTACCACAAACTCTGTAATGTTTTGATTTCTTTGAATGTTGATTATACTCAGGTAGTAGAAAGACTAAACACTTCTGTAGTGGGCTGTTAATTTTAGCTGTAGTAAAAAGTGAAATCCCAGAGGTTCTTCTCAGTCATTTTATGGTCGTCTTGTTAGATTGGAACTTGAAGAGCTAGCCCTCAATTTACAAGTGCAGATTGACATTTCATACCTGGCTTTTCTCCAAGAGTTGATCTCATTTTATCCAAAAACATTAGAAATCAAGCACACCAAACTTGGATGGACATAATTTAATTTGCCACATTAGCTAAGTCGCAATTAACCGTGTTAAGCTTCTATGATCTGTCTAGTGCAAGTGTTCTGTGTGATAATTCTGGAAGCAAAATCTCACTTCATTTTCTAAATTAAAAACAAAAAAGCCAAGCACCTTGTTTCTTCTCAGAAACCTTTGGTTTTGTATATTTAAATTCATGAGAGTGTCAGTGGTTTTATTTATTGTCCTCTCCTTGCAATGACTTGAAAAATACTTGGAGTTTTTCCATCTTGGTGCAGCTTCAGTTGTCAAGTGGCATTTTGCTTAAAGTGAAAATATAAAATAATGCAGCAAGCCAGGGCTTAAAAATTATAGTACACTCCTGCAGCTGTTGTTCAAATCAAAAACTACCAGCAAATTCTTTTGCATTAGTTATCCTAATTTGTAACAGTCTGTATTGCGTGAAGTCTCTGGGGTTAAAAAGAATAAGCCCAAAATAGAGGGAAACAGTTAAAGTTGTAATATCCCTTGAGGATCTTCTAATGACATTCTGGAAAAGTCTCATTTTTACTCATCACTATTGTTAAAATACAGTCTTGATCAAGTTTGAAAATATTAGAATAGTATTTCATATTTATTCCCCCTCATTTTTTTTGTCTTAGCGATTTGACAAGTATTTGTCCATCTGTTATTATTCTAATTATTCTATTTGTTTTAGATTTTAAAATAATATGTGGTGGTTTCCACATAGCAAGTGAAATAATCTCATGCCCTAGAGGTCACTATTGTTAACAGATTATATCTAGATTATATCTTTTTGGTATTGCTTTAAAAAATAACATTTGGATTAAAAATCATAATTTTGTGCTTTAAAATTTGTGTTCTAAGGTGATTAATTTAAAAATTGGCATATTTCTCTCAAATGACAATCATTAGGGATGGACAAGCTTTGTACATTTGAAAATAAGCAAAAAGCATTTATTCCCTCCCCCACAAAAAAAAGAAATACAAGGTTTTTCTTGATCTTAATGTTTGTCTGTCTTGAATTCTGTTTTATATTTAATAGGGTTTCTTAAGAATGTAAAGAGAATCTCCTGAGTAGAACTGAACACAAAATGCAGCAGTTCTGTGACTTAGGCATTTAAATAATGTCCATTCCTTTCCTTGTTAAAGACAACATCTGTGGGAATGGATATTTTAGCTTTTCTGCAGAGGAGAATCCAGGCTTCCTGCTTTTTGAACGGCATCAGTGAAGGCCCTTCTTTATACTTGCAGGAAGGTTGAAATTATCATGTTAATTATGTGTTCTCTGTTTCTCTATCATTGATCTATTATCTTAAGGTGCTGAGGTAAAAACTATGAAGGGTCAGTTTCTAAGCAGGAGTATTCTTGCTTTTTCTGAATGTTCAATTGATATGGCTATTGGTATAAATCACATGTTGATCTCAACTCAAGGGATACCCAAAGGGTGGAGAAAACTTGACTAGAACCCTAACAGAAACCCCTGATCTTGGAGTTTCTGGAGTCACCCCCTCCCCAGAGTATGTGGATTTGAAGGGAGGCATTGGGAGGGGCTCTCATCTTGAGTGTGGTATCACTGAATGTCTCCAGCTGTATTGGAGTGAACTGTAAAATCTGAGTAGGAAAGAGCTTCAAAGAAAATATGCTCACCTTCTGGGAGGGAAGTTAGAAAAGAGTATCTTGCTTAACCTTGCTGATCTCAAACAAAAGCAATTTGTTATTATGACAACATATAGGATTTATTCAGGCACAAAACAACAGAAGAAAGAACAGAGTGGACTGTATGTACATGGGGGGAGCAGCTTGCATTCGCTCCAGTCCTACTCCCCCAGCCCCCTATGTGACCTCTGGAGGACCAGCCTCTCCATTTCTACCAAGGGGAAAAAATAGGAGATCCAAGGCACTTTGGGTTCTATAGTTTGCTGCTTTCCTCACACGGGGGCACTCTTTCTAGCCTCCAGACTTCATTTAAATAGGGTTCTGAATATTGATGTTTATAACTTACAGAGATTACTTAATTTCAAAGTGCTGTGGAAATTGTTAAGAGTTAGTATTGGAATACTTTTGTTAAAGACAAATTTTTTTTTAAATGAAACTAGGCTTAACTCTTAAGATGGGGATCACTTTGAATTTGTGGCAGGAAAGCTGACTCCCTCAGTGCTATAATGATATTCCTTTTGAAACCTGTTGTGAGAATTCCCTACTTTAAAAAAATGCAAACGAGGAACCTTGGTATTATAGACGACATGGTTGTGCTAATTCACAGCGCCACTTGATTCCGTTTGTCTTCCTAAAGTGTTTGCTGTTATTTCAGATAATCCAAGGCTTATCCTAATGTTATACAAGGATAATGAAAAATCCACAGAAAATTGACAAGAATTTATTTTAGCTATTAGTTATGAATGTCTTCCTGACAAGTTCTGTTTAAGCTGTATGTAGGAATTGAAATCAATTGTTGCTAGCCCTCACGCTTCCTCAGTTCCTCTGAGTATGAACCAGTAGGTTTGAAGTGGTAATAAGGGGCCTCCTTGGTGGTGCAAGGAGTTAAGACACAACCTATGAAACTGTCCGCAGCCACTGCAGCACGAGTTCAATCCCCAGCCTGCCAGGGAGCTACCCACATGGTGCAGCAGACCTCTCCTGTCTTGTCCGCTGCTCCCCTCAGCAGTGTATTTCAGTCAATCTGCCTGTTTTGCTTTCCACTCTGTCTCTGGTGAATCCTCTCACCCCCTGCACCTCTGGCCTGTACCCCAGTTCTTGTATGCATAAATAAATAAATCTTTTTTAAAAAATAAAGTGGTAATAAGGAAGAGGTAAGGAAAGGTGCTGAATTCAAATAACCTTTGAAAAATGATAGGTTTATGGAGGGAATAGTAAATTCATGTGTGTTGTCTCTTCCCTCACTTTAGGATATTCCTGCCGGTTGGTCTCCCAGAATATGGCCCTTATTCTTTTGAAGGAGGATTCTTTGGATGTAAGTAGTTTTTTCAAAAATTGTGTTTGATATGATTGTCTTAATTCTTTTCTACTGTGACTAATTATCAGGGTTTAGTTTTCACTAAGAAAAAATTACAAAACTACTTTGCATTTTCTGTTTTATTTATGAGCAGAAGTCTTATATTTGAACATCAAAATGGTAAGCTTAGAACACTGCTTCATGATCATTCGTTAACTCACCTAGAATTATTCATATGAAATGGCATGGCTTAAACCTGGTTTGACTTCCCATTAGGATGTATACTAAGCAGTGATGGTTCACTCCTATGTTGGTTATCAGAGACTTGTAGGATTTTCTTTCTAGTACAAATGTTAAAAATCATATTTAAGTGCCAGCAGGTGTTTATTATATAGTAATAGGATACATATGCCCTTGAGTCTCCAACATCCCAATCCATCAGCTTATGAATTGAACAGCATGGTTTTCTGAATGTTCTATAGACATGTACCCACTTTGTCACTGCCTCAAGTCACTCATGAAGCCTGGGGTGCAGCTGGTTTAGGGCAACCGGGGACCTGGGAAGTGTCTTGTTATAAAGATAGGGGCTGGGCAGTGAGTTTCCATTTGTCACAGCTTTTAACATGGAATTGTTGCTGACAGGCATCTATGGCCACTCTTTCAGGCAGTGGATTTAAATACTGGTACTGGGAACAGATGACAGGGTTATTTACACTTTTAAGGGAAGCAGTACAGAAATTTCTACGCTTGCACACTGGGTAAGCCACGAATCCTACTTTCAAGACCAAGACATTCTCTGCCTCTTCAGGACTCCAATAGTCAGAGTCAGGAGAGGGTCTTTGTGTGTCCAAGGCACCATTGGCAAGGTACCACTTTTTGACTCAGCTTAAGGATTTTCTGTGTGTCTCTTATCCTTGTTTATGGCACTACCTCCAGGAACCCCACAACTCCTAGGTCATCCCTCATCACCTTGATTCTAATTCTCACCTCTTCTGGGGTGGTGAGAAACTTAACCTTCCACTTAAGCATGCCTATCACCCCATGACCCCCTATTCTACTTGGTTTTATTTTTCTCTATAGAATATTTCATCACTGAAATTACATATATAATACTTATGAAATGTTTATTGCATATCATATATGTAAATTGTGGTGAAATACACATAAAATTTAATATTTTTACTCTTTTTAAGTGTATAGTGGAATGACATCATTTCATCACCATCTATTTTCAGAACTTTTTTCATCTTACAAAAATAAAATCTGTACCTATTAAACAACAACCTTCCACTTCCGTCCCCCCAGCCCTTGGTGGTAGAAAGTAGCATCCACGATTCTACTTTCGGTCTCTGTGAATTTGACTACTCTAAGTAGCTTATGTAAGTGGAATCACACAGTAATTGTTTTTTTTTGTGACTGGCTTATTTCACTTAGCATGATGTCCTTAAGGTGCAACCATATTGTAGTATATGCCACAATTTCCTTCCTGTTTAAGGCTAGGTAATAATCCATTATATGTATAGACTGCATTTGTTTATCCTTTTATCTTTTGATAGGATATTTGGGTTGGTTCCACTTCTTGGCTTTTGTAAATGACATTGATACGAAGATGGGTATGCAAATAGCTCTGAATCCTGCTTTCAGGATTGTGTATGAGCCTAGAAGTGGAATTGCTGGTTCATATGGTAATCTTGTGTTTCAGTTTTTGATTAACTGTTATACTCTTTAGTACAGTGACTGTACCATATTACATTCTCACTAACAATACTTAAGGGGCCCAATTTCTTTACATCCTCACCAGTCCTTGTTATTTTTTCTGTTTGTTTTTCTTTAAGTGGAATTATTTTTATTGAGGTAAGATATTTTTTAAAAGTAGCCATCCTGATGGGTGGTATGTCATTGTACTTTTGATTTACATTTCCCTAATGATTGATGACATCAGGTATCTTCTCATGTGCTTACTGGCCACTTGCATATTCTCTTTGGAGGAATATTTATTCAATCTTTTTGCCCATTTTTTAATCAAGTTATTTGTTTTTGTGAAATGCTTTATATTTTGTTTGCCTCCCTCAAGTCTCATAACGTAAGGGCCATTTGCCATGGAGCAAAAGTCTGATTTTTTTGAGCATCTCTACCTTCAATACAGTGCTTTGCACAAAATAGCTACTCTGTATATGTTTGAATGAATGTATTAGCAAGCTTGGCATATTTTCCAGATTATCAATTAGAACTTCTATTTAAAGATCATGCTGACGACATAGTGGTGAGGGAATCAAGACCAGGTGAGCCAAAGCAGATCATGGCAGAGAGGAGTATGCTGGTACCAGCACCCTTGGGTGGAGGAACACAGTGTGAGAGCATGCCTGTGGTATCTGTCCCTGGAGCTCCTGTATCCTGATGATTTTCTAATTCCAAGACATTCACAACCATAAAATAACCCTCCTTTTATATGCATATAACTTAGAAGTGAGCCTATATTTTGCTTTTCTGTGAGGTATTTGATGGAATCCAAGAGATGGACTTTAACTTTACCAGCACTACAGGACTTACAGTAAGTTTGGGACTTTTGATTACATAGACAAGAGTGATTTGTCATACAAACTGTGAAGATTTTATGGGGGTGGCTTACTTCATTGGTAACCAGTTAATACTTCTTCTATACCCACCTTTGAAAAAATACAAATTTTAGTATGAATCCACTATTGAATTCAGTATCTGCTGAGCGGAAATGCAGTTCCTGTGTACTTTCTTTTTGGTTCCATACTCAGAAAAGAAAACTCCATATTTTGGACTAGAGTCCTTCTCCCACTCTCCTACCCCTCTCCCACCTTCTCTACTTCTCTTTCATTCCTACTCTCATTAAAATTTCATTTGGTAAGTGTGAAATAAAAGCAGAGTCCTAGGGCAATCAATTAGTTATACAGTTGATCTGTGGTGGAGGTTCCAACTTAAGCTTTTAAGGCTGCAGGACTCTGATGATTTATGATGAAGCAAACAAGACAAGGACAAAGGAAATAGCACGAGAATTAGACTCTTTGGGCCTGCCTTCCTTTACTTCGTTTTGCATATAAGTATGAGGGAATACGAGGTCTACTTAAAGATCGAGAACTGGCATCCATTACTCTGACTGGCCTAATAACTATGTCCAGGGTAGGATTCCCGATGCTTAAAATGATTAGGGTACATCTCTGTTTTGACGTTTTCAGCTGTTGCCAAAATGACTTCTAAGCTCTGTAATATAGATAAGGTCAGTGGTCCTTAACACAGGGAGAATGATGATGTGCTCCAGGGGGACATCAACTGATAGGCTAGGGTAACAGAAAAATTTGATTTTCTGTTTTTTAGGTTAGAAATACTGAGAAATTACCTTTATTGATAGCAACATATGGGTTGCTCCTACAACTTATCTAGTTGGCTCTGATTCTGAGAACTGTAGGGAAATGTAACTGAATCTGGAGAACAGATTACTAGAAAAGGGTATCAGTGTCATTTGTGGATTGCAGGGATATGCAAGAAAATGACTAGAAAGGCAAAGAAAGGTCATTTAAATCAGTAGGGTGATACTGCTTGCCAGGCACAATACTATATTTTTTTCCACCAATAAGATTGTTACTTCTTTCAAACCCAAGCAGATGAATTAGTTAATCCCAGTTTTTGATACCAAATATGGAAATGGCCAGGGTTCAATTTAGGATACAATGACAGTCAGTCTGGTCAGAAAATAAAAACCACACCTGTTATTTGAATAGATTGGTTTTAATGTAGAGAATTGTGAATTAAGTATAAAGTTGTTAATTAGGCAACTGAAAGTGTAAAATGAGAACTTCAGGGCTGAGAATGGTCTAGTATAATATTCAGGAGAAATCTCACCCAAACCTGTTTTTGCAAATAATGTTTTATTTAAGTCATCCCATTCATTGACACATTACCCATTACTGTTTGTCACTGTAAATGTAGAGTACTTGGGAAAGGGACTTTAAGGCCCACAAATTGAAAATTATTTACTATCTTGTCCTTTTCGGAACTAGTTTGCCCTGCTCTCAGGTCTCTGGTAGTGGCAACTGAAGGAAGCAGCTGCTACCTCCACCCCTGAGGGAACAAAGGGAAAAGAATGAAATTATTGAGACTGTTAAACTTCAAAGAAGGGACTCTTAAAGCTCTCCGAAGAAGGGAGAGATGCTTGGCTGCTATAGTGTCCCTGCATTTGGGGTAAAATGCAATAATGATAATTTTGCAAGTGTTGGAAAAACTGTAAATTAGATTCATCTTCTGCTATAAAGAGATCTGTGCTGCTTGAATAAAGAATTAGAAGCAGACAGGAACCCCACAAGGGGGAAATAGGAAGAAGCGTTTCTTTATCCATCTTTGGATTGGCAGCCTCTCTTTCTCTCTCTTGCACCCCTTACTGGCAGAGTGGAAAAGAGAGGCCCTAGCAAATCAGGAATGTGGTTTGTAGAATCCCTGCTGTAGTATCACAAGCTAAATATAGAAGGGTATGTCTGAGGCTGAGAGATGTTAACTCAGTAACTGGCACAGAGTCTAATTTTAAGATAAAGTAAGTTAAAACAGGAAATTATGTGCTTGTAAGATTATTTGGAAAAGCTGTTGGAACAGAGGTCTTCAAGCCCTAGGAAGGTTTCCAGTTCATGTCCAAGCAACTTTATTCCTAAGGTGAGGACACTGTTGCTGCTACCCCGAGGGTTTCAGAAAATCACTGCTGATGTTCCAGCTCCCTCTATCTAGAAACTGGGGCCAGATAGACAGTTGAATCTAGGATATGCCTTGCATGAAAAGGAATAGTTGGTCTCTTTTCTGTCTTCCAAATTTAAGCTAACATACCAGTTCACTGAAGTGAGCTAAAATCCTGTTAGTAAGGGAATCTTGGAAATAAGGTTTTTAGCCATTCAGTTCCTGCAATATAGAAAAAATATGGAAGAGGATGGAAATAGATGTGGAGAGTCAATCAATGAACCTCCCTCGTACTGCTAATTTATAGGCAAGTAGGAATCAGGAAGCCA